TTTTGTTTTTTTAGCAGCTCCAGCGCCTTCCGATGGGGCTTGCTCTGTTGTTTATTTTTGGTTTGGTTTTGTTTTTTATGCCTCAGCACCTTCAGGGCTTGCTCCGTTGTTTATTTTTGGTGTTGTGTGTTTTTTGCAGCCCCAGCTGCAAAATGCAAAATCCTATGGGACGGCTTGCTCCGTTGTTTATTTTTGGTGTTCTGTGTTTTTTTGCAGCCCCAGCTGCAAAATGCTATGGGACTTGCAGTGTTTTATTTTTGGGGGGTACTTTTTTTCTTCTGGAATGGATTAATCGTGTTCCAATGCATTTCAATGGGAAATGGTGCTTTGACTTACGACCATTTCGAGTTACGTCCATCTTTTGGAACGGATTATGGTCATAAGTCAAGGCACCACTGTATTGTAAACATGTATTTTGCTACCTATCAGTGGTGATGCTTTTTAAATACATTTAAAAATTAGTGAATCCATGCTTGACTGCCAAAGTAACAAAAGAGACCAACAGTTATTTCTGAAATCTCTCCCTCCTCCCTGAAACATCCTTGTATTTTAATGAGGCAGTGATTAAAACAATAACACTTTTCAGTATAATGGATGAAGATAAATGTGCATGAAGATAAATCTGATCCAATAGACAGGTTGCTGACTATATTAAGGACTAAAAATCTCTATCAGCTTTAATGGGCCACAATTTTTAAAAAAGTAAACCCCATTGTTTTTGGTGATTCACGGTCATCAGTAATCAAAGTGAAATCTATTCCTTCATTGCATGAAGATATGTATCGTCTAATCTTATCTTCCATGATAATTAATTGGGTCTTAATACGGCAATTTTGCTACATCCTACTGAAGATTCATGTTTAGAGAAGAAAAGCCACACAAATTAGCATTATCTTGTGGCTTCTTACTGTTACAATACAAAGGAGTGGGTGCGGGAAATGAAACATAGGAGAGTCTGGTCTAATAAAGCTAAAATCCCCCTTACTCATCTTGCAGTACTGTGCAGTAATTATATTAATGGTCAGAGGAACCTTCTTGTATGCTTACTGTCCCTCTCAGGTCCCTGGAATGCAAATTTTGTATTTAAATACTGTACATACTTTTAGACAAATTTGTCTACCAAAATAAGGCATACACTTACATCTTCCTCATATTCAGAGCCGCTTTCTTCTTCACTGTCTGACCTAGGTGCAACTTCATAGCTGGTGTGGAAGAAACAGAAGAGAGAATGATTGGGAAATACCCCTAATTATAGTCTTTTCAAATAAGTTCATAATAACCAGAGTAAGAGGGCATTTCAAAAAGCTATGAAACAACCAAAAGAAGTATCTGCAAATATTTTCAATGGGTAAATATAAAAGTAGCAGGTTGTGGAGTAGGGATATGACTGATTACTCACCCAGGGTTCATTTCTAACCAAGCATCCAACTGACTTGCTTTAGGAGCCTCCGGTCCAAGAAGAACTTTGCCTGTTTCAGTGTGAGTTACCTTGACTGGGAGATCACTCATCTGACTGCTCTCGTCAATGGGCTAGAATCAAGTAAAAAAACAAAAACAAAACAAATCAGCTTAATCAAGGGTAGAGAAGATTTCAACATTTGAGAGGGGAAAAAGGACTGTTCATGTTAAATTAAAGTTACTTACTCAGAAATTCATGCCAATAAGTATGTGGTTCTAGATAAGGTGGTGGAAGTGAGACAAGGTGTACACCGAAAGGCTAGGGTGACTCATAACCTAAGCAAAGTGGTTGACTCCAAAATTTTAGATTCAGCCCCCAAACTCACAAACTCAAACTAGTGGCCACTATGCTTAAAAGGAAGGGTGTGTTGTTGTTTTTAAATACTCACTTTGGTATCAGGTTATATTCCTTCCTGCCTTCTAAAATCATTGACAAAATGACTCACATACTTCTTTTCATAATTTAAGGAATATGATGCTGATGATCAGTGTACATACAATTAAGGCAGGATTACTTATCACACTCTTCGAGAAGGATATAAAACACAGAACTGTGCCTGCCTTACTATATAAAGGGAATTGTTATAATTATGATTTTGATATTATACATACTTACCTATGAGAAAGTCCTACTGAAATCAACATGTGTCTCAATGGGTCTTACATCGAGTAGTGATGTCAAAGACTGTACCACTAGTTTCTAATACTGTAGTTTTTCATATGCCTTACAAATCTTATCTTTCCCCCCCTTAATGATGTATAAAGCATGAAATCCTGTTGACATAAATTATGCTGTGTAAGGCTGATGACATCAGTAACAGCAGCTATTAAACAGTAATGAAAGAGATTACATGGAAACTTTGGAGCAGAAATCAAACATTTCTGATTTCTGCCCCAAAGCTCCAAGTAATCCCATTCATCGTCGGGTAAGCCTCTGATGCTGTGGGATGGGTAGAAGTTTTTAATTTAAGCTGCCCAGAGACCTTTGGGTAGCGTAGGCAGCATATAAATTAAACAAACAAACAAACAAACAAACACATAAATAAATTAACCAAAACCTGCTATTAATGGAATGACTTTTCCAGAAGAAGCAATTTTCAGTAATTAAAGCCACCCCCTCCCATCCCCCAGCTTCTAGACAATTAAAGGGATTACACAAGAGCCTCAGGACTAAAGTCAGAAGTGTCTAATTTCCAAAAAAGAATCACTGCTGAGATCAACACTTTTATGCTGTGTACATTAGGGCAACAGGATATCAGTCAAAAGATTTCAGTATAAGATTCAGTCTTATTGATTTATAAAGAATATTTTAGTAGGTTTAATTAATCTTGCAAAAAGAGTTGCACAACAACAATAATTTTAACAATAATACTACATCTCATATTTCCAATAGGAGATCCTAACGTACATATACAGAGAACCTTTCTGGAGTCATTTATAGGGCATTCTAGCATGCTCATTAGTGAGACAGCTCATTAACTGCAAGGGCATTCATTAAAAACTTCAATTAGATGTGTTGGACAAAGTGTCTGCCATTAAACCAATTTACTACACATCTTACTGTATGCCAGAAAAGACAGCAAATGATAAATCCATTGATGTGTATTTGCTTGATTAGTCTGAATGCAACGATCTAATTTTTCTCATGAAAGAAAAACTAAATAGTTTCTTCATGTTACAAAACAAAATATAGCATAGCTGATTTTAGAATGTAATCTTAAAACAAAGTCAACTAATTTGAAGTTAACATAAATACATTATTTCCTACCTGTATAGCAGGTATCTCAACATTACACAATCAAAAACAAGAGCAGTCAATAATTCGTAAGTCTTCCTATTTGCTTTGGGAATACATGAACCAGTAGTCTAATATACAGATCAGTTCTTTACAACCAACTTTACGCTGCTATAGGTTTTCCCATAAAATTTAGGGTAATTTTAATTTGAAGCAATCTTTGTGTTTATGTTCTGACGATCATTAGTAAGATCAGAAAAATAACAG